CAGTGCGGTAAGGATGCTGCACAAGTGACGCACGGGGAGCATTTTTCTGCACCCCAAAATAGTAAAAGAAACTCTGCGTGATTTGTGTCACGATCATTATAATCAACACCATTTTTCGCGGGGTATTATTCAAACCCATAATCATTTCATGACGCAAATCTCATTAACCCCGATGAATTCAAGTCCCTCTTCACCGACCGTGAACGGTCATATTTCTTTTGAAACTGTCAGAAAATGGAAAACCGAGCACGTTAACATTTGGCTGCAAGAAAATAATTTTCCAGAGTATCAACAACTTTTCGCAGGTATTTAAGAAATATTAAATGGTAGCTTTCAAAGAAGCTATGTAATACTTACGATCTCTTTCCCATTTAATCATATACTCAAGAGAATGATATCAACGGCGATGTGCTCTTAGAGATAGACTATAAAGAACTTAAAGAATTGAACATCGATTCTATAGGGGATCGAGTCAGGATATTGTCGGCGGTGAGAAATTTGCTAAAAATATGTGCAGACAGCAATCATCCGTATTATATGTCTATCAATTATTCAAAGGTCAATATACAAAACTTTCCTTTTGCCTATCACGTTTTCCTCGACAACAACAATTACGAATTTAGCAAAATGCCTTTTTAGGAATTAAATTCGCCTGAACTGGATAGATTCCCGATGACGCTGTCACGATCTGATTCTAATTCTCGAAGGGTTACTCGTATCAACTCAACTAATAAAGGAAGCAACGGAAGGCCCAAGTCTCCGCAGCATGTTAAGGTTTGATTTTTTCTTTATATTAAGGTGTATTTTGTTTGGAATGCAAAAAGATGATTGAATGCACAGAAAGAATCTCACTAGCGTATTAGTGTATTATCACGACTCAACTGATTCACTATCATCATGTCATTTGAGTGTCAGATATATACGTACCTTAATATCGTGATCTAGGATAAAAAGTTCTTTCACTTAAACGCGACATAACTTTCTTTTCTTTTTTTTTTTAAAAAAAAAAAAATTTCAGCATTGTATAAAAGTTATTGGAGAAAATCAAACGCGAACTATTACCATAGACGACGTCAGTGATGCCGAATCTATTTTGGCTAGGGTTTTGCAAAAGTTCAATATCAACGAAGATGTCGAAAGATATTCATTATTTACTACTAGCGAGACCGGAACCGGTGAGATGCCAAGAGTCCTATTCACTATACATGTATGTTTGTAGATCTTCGGGACCTTCGCTCATTTGTTGTTATTTATTCTACAATCTTGGGTAATGATAAATGACAATGTTAGCGCGAAGTTTGTCCGACGACGAATTGGTGGAAATCTGTAAGAGCGCGGATAGGCCCGAGCGAGATAGATTGATTCTGCGGAAAAAGCATCAACCAATGAGTTACGAAGAGATGAAGCGACGAAATCGGGATAAGAAATTAACAGATTTCTTTGGAGAAAAGCCACCAAGCACGTCGCAAGCACCACAAGTGGGGATATCACAGAAAAAACTACGAAACTTCTTCGGACAACGACCTCCATCAGAATTGATTTCATCAAATTTGACCGAATATTTCCCTGGTCATGTTAGCGAGGAACTGGAACGTAGTGCACGGAACTCTATCAGAAGATCTTCAAGACTTTCGGCTGCATCTAGATATTCAAAAACAAGATCTAAACGCATATCTAGACTTTATGATGACGACGATGGAGGTAGCAGTAGGTTAAATACTTTATTAGCTCCTCCAACTGATGATTCTAGATCGGCCATCCTGGAAGAGGAAGCTGAGGAAATAGAAAATTTTGAGGAATTTGACGGATTTGAAGAGGTGGAAGAAGATTGGTCTCCAAACCAAGAAGACGGTAAATGGTTATTTTGCCATTAAAGATTTTCAATGAGGATTCTAAGTAAGCCTCTATTTTTTCCTGTAACCAGAGAGTTCGTCTCTCAAATGGATAAAGGGCTCCCTGATCGGCTTGGGTTCTTTTGGTAGCGTATACCTTGGACTTAACGCTATCACCGGTGAATTGATGGCGGTTAAACAAGTAGAGTTGCCCACGGGACAATCTGCACATGAAGAACGCAAGATATCAATGGTAGGTGTTCTTATAAAACTTGTTTCCCTGTGTGATTCTGAGAAAATAAACCAAGATTCTTAAAATATAACGAATATCACATTAGTTGGACGCCCTGCAACGAGAAATCTCACTATTAAAAGACTTGCATCACGAAAACATTGTGCAATACCTAGGTTAGTGTGGTCACGTGATGTTCTCTTAGTTGAGATCATTCATTTGATTCTAATGAAACCCTCAATTATTTTATATCAGGCTCACAACATGACGAAAAAACTCTAAATATTTTCTTGGAATATGTTCCCGGTGGATCGGTCGCTACAATGCTCAACACTTACGGTCCATTAGAAGAAACGTTAATTCGATCATTTGTACGACAAATTTTGCAAGGATTAACCTATCTCCATGATAAAGAAATCGTTCATCGTGATATCAAGGGTGCCAATATTCTAGGTAGGGTATTTCATTCGTATAGCCTGGATACCTCGTAGCTTACTGAATTTCCTTTTCAAAACTTACACAAAGTCGACAACAAGGGTGGAATAAAGATATCTGATTTTGGTATCTCGAAAAAGGTGGAAGATCGTAAGTCGCTCGTTGGTCGCATTTCTTTTTTTTTTTCACTCATTACACATCATATACCTTATTGTATCTTCGTTGACATTAGAATTTAGAGCAGCGCAGAGGCCATCTTTGCAAGGTTCCGTGTTTTGGATGGCTCCCGAAGTAGTAAAACAGACAGCCTATACATACAAAGCCGATATATGGAGTTTGGGATGTTTAATTGTCGAAATGTATACCGGTGAACATCCGTTCCCAGAGTTCAACCAGATGCAGGCAATGTTTAAGGTAATCAATCTTAATTTTTATTACTTCGTCTAAAATTCGATATTTACTGGAATCCTCGTGCGTTACTTAGATTGGAACACAATCTTGTTCGCCTGAAATTCCCGATGGCGTTTCTAATGAGGCAAAAGATTTCTTAAAGAAAACCTTTGAATTGTGAGTATAATTACTCTTGTTATGATCTGTTGTTGAATTGCTTCCTTCTTATTATTGATTTATAAAAATGAATCAGAAACCACGACGATCGACCCACAGCCAAAGTGCTTTCGGCGCATCCATTTGCCTCATCAACTTCAATTAAATCTAGCTCGGTCTCATCACCATGATATTTGAATTCCTTTCCTTGCCACTAGCACAACAATCATTATTTATTTCAGATTTCTTTTTCTTTACGTAAATAGAAAGTTTGGTTGTCATTTGTTAATAAATGCAAGGTTCAGTAATGTTAATATAATTGAATTAACTTATTATCTATCAATACATTACATTTAATAATTTGCATTTAGAACTCGCAATAACAATAAATTCACATTACAATCAGTCTTTCGGTATACATTGCAGAGAAAAGAAAGTACAAAATAAAAAGTTTGAAATTATCATAATTTTCTATAATTATTCACATACGCGTATTTCTTTTTCTATATAAAATGATAGAAATAGAGGCAGAATTAATAATAAATTACATCAATTATACTATTGTAGCATAAAATTTATAAAAAAAAAACTTCTTGTTTTATTATCTTTTGAATAAAGAAATGTAATTAAATACTTTAAATTTGAGCATTTTATATTTGTCTTATTATATAAATTAATTAATTGTCAAAATTAAAAAAAGTTATAAAAACATTTTTTATTTTAAATAAAATTTTGGTTTTTGTACAGTCCCTCCCAATAAATAAAGGACCACTTAAGAATTATTACTAGGTAACATAAACTGTGAGCATCCAAAGCTAAAAATTATTAGTGATAGATAAATATTGCATAATTCTAAAATTTTATTGGCAGTAGTTCATTAGTGACAGATACACATTTTCAAGTTTGGATTATAATGTAAAGTCCTTCATTACATTTCAGACAATAATTAATCAGAAATAGTTGTTATATATTAAAATTTTTATTTTATTAATAAAAATAACTTTTATATATTAAGTAAACTTGTTTCTTACAATGAATTTTATATAATGAAATTTTTATTAAGTTTGAATAAACTTTATTGTTATGTTTGACAATTATTTTCTAAATAAAAATTTTTTATTTTTTTTGTTAAAATTTTGACATTCACTTAATTTTTATAATTACTATTTTAATAAGTAATTTGATATTAATAAATTTTATTTAGCATAAAGTATTTAAATATTAAGTTTCATAAAATTATATTTAATATTTAAATTTTTATTTGATAAAATATAAAAAAAATTAAAGATTCATGAATCTATAACATAATAATAATGCTCTATAAGTTACCAAAAAAATATCTAGGATTCAAACTTTTCTAATTACAAAAATTTATCATATTTATAATTGATTAATTCCAATACATATTGTATTCAATCAGTTGAAAATAATTTATCAAATTAAGTTAGACTGTACAAAGATAAAATCTTTAATCTTTTTAATAATAATGAACTGAAAACAGATTGAAGTAAAAAGATTGTATAAGACAAGACTTCTGATTTAACTTCATTAAAAATCTACAACCCAATTAGAATAACAAACTTCATATCATTATCTTTTCTATTTGGGTTGGCTAGTTTTCTGAATAAATTATACTTAATTAACTAATATCCAAAATTGGATTAACAAACTTCAAATTTTAATTGAATCTTCACTATCCTATTTAATATTAATGCAATTTGAATTGATAATCCAATTGTAAAAAAAAGTTAAATAATAAGTCAAAAAATAATCACTAAAAAGATTTTTTAACTATTGAATAGGATTTTTCTTATTCTAAATTTGCAAATAATAAAATATAATATAAATTAGAATATAGATTTATTCATGAAATATAAATTAATATTCTGATAAAAATTATAATAGGCTAGGATTAATTTATAGTATATATAAAAGATTCTTAATATAATAGCTATTAAATTCTTGTTTAATAAAAGTTTTATATTTAATGCTTATTTGTAATCAAAAAATAAAATATAAAAAAATATTTTTTAATAACTCTTTCTCACTTACCCCTACTTCGTCAGAAAATTTCCTTTTTTGGAAATTTTCTTCCCTTTCCCCTTTTTTTCTTCTGTGCAAGATAAAATCTCGAGCATGATGAGTCTGAGATGTGCTGATACCACACGAGGCTCCTCTAACCGTCGAGATTCCACATCTAGGAGAAGCAATCATGTTTAGGGAAGCATGAGCAGACCAACTCCTGCGCATAACAACAGTCTGAAACAAGGACTAGGAAGGTTTTGGGGAGGCCAACCTTTTCCTTGCGAGGCTTTGTGTACGTCTGGTAATCACAAACATG